CAATTTTAGTGACCGAGCGGGTTCGAATGCTTGCCTAGAACTTTGAAGCACGGTACCGTGATAGCAAGAAGAATATACAATACATACAGTGAAGGACTAAAGTATGCATACACCCCGGGGTTTCCTGTTTCCTATTCTTGCTTCATGAATTTCCTGAGCACAAATTTGTCTTCTCAATCGTTGTTGCTCATTATAAGCTCTGTGAGAATTCTTGTTATTGTCGTGTACGATGCTCAATCATTCCGATTCAAGCAGATGGCCTTGCAGTAGCATTTTCCGCTTTGGCGCAACCTTTTCATGGCAACGTAACAAATTTTATTCTGTAATTGACCTTTTTGTATATATAATGGTTCAATAATTTACCTTATAAATTACCGAAATAGAGAAGGCAAAAGACCGAAATTGAACGAATCAAATGACTTACAAATCAGCTGATGAAGAACAGAAACAAATTCCAATGGAAATGAGGTTAGGTATGTTCACGAAAAAAACAAAAGCTGTGCGTATAAACAATTCAGAAAAAACCAAATTTAAAAAAAAATATATTTGAAAAAAAGAAAAAAAAAAATTAAAAAAAAAAAATTGGAAAAAAAATTGAAAAGAAAATTGGAAAAAATGAGAAAAAAATATTGAAAAAAAAACGAAAAAAAATAAAAAAAAATTGGAAAAAAAAATAGAAAAGAAAATTGGAAAAAAATGAGAAAAAAATATTTAAAAAAAAATTTAAAAAAATTTGGAAATAATTGTAAAAAAAATTTTTTTTAAGGTGAAAAAATTTGTGCTGAAAAAAGCCACTTTTTTATTTTTCCAGTTTTCCAACTTTCCGAATTTTTCTCAGAAAAAGTAATAGGGTTTCTTTTTGTTTCTAAACCTTCCCACATCCAGAACGAACATCCTCTGAAATTTCGTCAAGAATGGTCTCGCTGTTCTCCAACCTTAGTGTCACTAACAACAAACATTCATTTCTATAATTTAAGATTAATCTTTGAGATATTGATAAGCAAACAGCATAGTTCTGCAGTTAACTACTTCCAAAATTGAGAAAAAGGCTGAGTGGTAGAAAAAATATCACCGACACGTATTTGAAGATAAAGAGGACTATTTTCTTAAGAGGACTTAAATAAATTACTTAAAAGAATTGGAAAATTCATAATTGTAGGTGAATAAATGGAAATGGAAAAATCAATTTTTGCTCTCTTATTTCCACCCCATATTCGGTGAACATTAAAACGCTCCTCGAACTTAAGGGAAAAATAAGGCAAGACATCAAAAGAACACAACCAGAGTGTTGCACGATAAAGCACTATTTCAGAATAACCGTGGAACAGACTCTTGTAGGACACAAAGAGGTGATCTAGTCACCGATGCACAGAGTATATTGAATTTATGAAGGGAACACTTCTCCAGCCTGCTGAATAGCAAGTGAAAATATCGTTAGTATCCGGAGATAGTGAACCCGAAACACCAATCGATGACGATGGAAAAGACATTCCATTACCTGACCATGAAGAAGTTCGAATAGCCCGCTTAAAAAACAACAAAGCGGCTGGAGCTGACGGCCTACTGGCAGAACTATTCAAACATGGCGGTGAAGATCTGACAAGGTGCTTGCATGAGCTACTAAAAAAGGGATCATCAGGGTCTGCGCCAATTATTGTGGGATAAGCCTACTTAATTTCCTGTCGTGCGTATTGTGTGAAAGACTTAAGCTCAAGACTCGTCAACAAACTAATAAGACCTTATCAGTGTGGCTTTAGACCTGATAAGTCAACCATTGACCAGATCTTCACCATGCGGCAAATCTTTGAAATGACCCGTAAAAAGAGGATCGACACCCACCATCTCTTCGTGGAATAGGAGCTGTCTTTACGCCGCTGTATCTGAATTTGGTATCCTCGCAAAACTTATCCTGCTGTGTAAGCTGACGCTAGACAACACCAGCAGCGCTGTTAGAATTGGGAAGGGCCTCTAGGAGCCGTTCGATACCAAACGAGGTTTCAGACAGGGTGACTCTTTGTTGTGTGATTTCTTCAATTTGATGCTGGAGAGAATAATAAGAGCTGCAGAGCTGAATAGAGTAGGTACAATCTTCTTAATGAGTGTACAACTACTAGCATACGCCGATTATATTGACATTATCGGCCTCATCAACCCCGCAGCTAGTTCTGCTCTCTCGATAAAGAAGCGAAGCAAATCAGTGTGGAAGGATAAGACGAAGTATCTCCGCATAAGCGACTTGGCTCCCATGTCACTGTTGACCGTCATAACTTTAAAGTCGTAGATAACTTCGATTATCTTGGAGGCAGTATTAGCACCAATAACAATGCCAGCCTAGAAAACCAACGCAGAATCACTCTTACCAACAGGTGCTACTTCGGACTGAGTAGGCAGTTGAAAAGTAAAGTCCTCTCTCTCGTCGAACGAAAACCAAACTCTACAAGTCCGACATCATACCCGTCCTACTATATGCTGCGGAAGCATGAACGATGACAACATCTGACAAGATGACGTTAGGAGTATTCGAGAGAAAGGTTTTGTGTCAGATTTATGGCAACGGTAAACATCAATGGAACGATGAGCTGTACTAGTTATACGGCGAAAAAGCAGCGGCTACGCTGGCTAGGTCATGTGGTCCGTAAGGATGTAAATACTCCATCCAGCTTTAAAATTTTTCGATTCAGTTATCGCCGGTGGAAGCATAGGAAGAGGAAGACCTCCACTCCGTTGGAAAAAGTAGGTAGAGAGAGCTCTTAAATGCTCTCAAATGTTTAACTATACTGCCCGCTCTGACCCCAGTCTTCAACAGTTTGCTCAGCTTATTACCAAACAAAAGGCTAAGGTTACCGTCCGTTCAAAATTTGTCATACCTAAATTCACCCAAATGATATCAATTTCGAAAAGAAGATTGCAAAATTACACACCGTTACAGACACACATACATGCATACGCAAACCGTTTTCATCATTTAAGCCTCAACTGTTTTCATATTAAATTTATGGGTAACTAAATAAGTATTACATGAATTTCATATGTTTTTACTGCTTTTTTTCTTGTCTTTTTTTGTTGCTTACCACCCTTTTTAGTATCTTTTTTGTAACTTTTTTAACGCAAGCAAATGAGTTGCAAATAACTAGCTGAAGAGCGGTAAAGGCAAATAAATCGAAAATAAAATATTTAGAAAAAAAATATTCAAATATTCTAAAAAAACAACAAAAAGTGGCCGGTGCTTACGTTTTACGTTATCTAACGGGTGTATTTTTTTTTTGTTTTTTTTTTTTTTGAACACGAAATCCAATTTATTGGTTAAAAAGAATATTCATTGGTAGAATCGCGTGGGTATGTGTGTGTGTGTGTGTGTGTGTGTGTGTGTGTGTGTGTGTGTGTACTTGCAAATAGTTAAACAAATAGTAAAACTAACAACGGCAATGGTCTTTATCCACACTTTGTTGGCATTTATTTGCATATTTGTTGCACACAAAGTCTGCTGGCGCAATCAAATAGAATAAAGTAATATGCATTTGAATATAAATAAATTCAGTGAAAATGTAGTAAGAATGTAAAATGTAAAGGAGCAAAAGGGCAGGAATAACAATAGAAATGTTGAAAACTCAGATGCAAAAAGCAGTGGAATAAATGAAATTAGCATATGAGTGTGTTGGTGCTGCAAGTTTCTTTTACACACTTTCTTACGCAGATACATACATATATATACGTACATATTTACATATATCTATATGCTGAATTCTCTAACATATTTGTTAACATCTCACTCTTTCACTCTCCCTCTCTCTCTCTTCTTCTTCTTTATACCGATTTCTTATTTGTATGCACTCGACTGTGCGACGCTCTGCTCTGCTGGTCATTTTTATTGCCAACATATTCACTTCATTTCCTTTTACAGTTCGGCGCACATTTTTACACATCAAATTTGTTTTTTTTTTCTTCTAGAATTTTTATTTTTTTTCTGTAATAAGAACCAATCTAAAAATATAACCAACATTGCATTCGTAACTATCGTTACGCCTATGCTATTTGTATTACTCCTCCGCAGCCACTCTCTCGTCTCACTTACTCGTGTACACACATTCGGGTAGTATATTGCCTACTTGTAGGCGCATTGCACTATTTGCTTATGTTGATTGTTTGCTTCACAGCAGCACAGAATGTTGCACGCCATTATTGCCATTTTCATTTCCATTTGAATGAGCTTTAGTGCCAAAGCATATATATTACATACATACATGCACTTTGCTCATACATACATAAATGAAAAGAAGTTGAAGTGAAATACATTAATACATATATATGTAGTATGTATTTGCAATATTGCAGGCAGAGTAAAGTAGGTACTTGTAATGTATGCATAACTGTATAGATGCAAAGCAAACTCTAAATGCCTGTATCATAATCAAATGCGGTTCCTATAAACCTACCAGAAAGTCAACACTTGTTAATTCGGTAACACTTTGAAATAAAAAGTACTTAGGTTGCCAAATATTCATAATTTTTTTTTTTAATTTTTTTTAACTTATTTTATTTTATTCTATGCTATTTTATTTGATATTAATTAATTTTTTTTTCTTAATTTGTTATATTATATTTTATCTTATTTTTTATTTATTTTATATATATAGTAATTTCATTTTACTTGATATCATTTCATTCCACTTCGTTTTGTTTTATACTATTTTATTTTATTTAAATTCTTTTATTTTTGTTATTTTGGGTACATTATTTTATTTCATTTGATTTTTGTATTTTATTTTATAATATTTTTTTATTTTATCTCATTTCATTTTATTTTATTTCATTTCATTTTATTTTATTTTATTATATTTTTTTATTTTATCTCATTTCATTTTATTTTATTTTATTTTATTTTTTTTTATTTTATTTTCATTCTTTGGCATTATTCTTTTACTTATATTTTATTTAAGTTTCTTTTATTTTATTGTCTTATTTTTTATAATTTAGTATTACTGTTAGTATTTTTTGGGCCTTTTATTTAGTGGTTTTTTATTATTAAATATTACTTGAGACAGCAGTTAGCGCGACGTACATACATACTGCTACTTTATATCATACTTCAGCCAACGTAGATCACCTATCGACCGTCCGATGTATTCGCCATTTATGTTGCCACATGTGCCGCAGCATTATCAATGTGAATGGGGCAGTGCATTATGGAACGTCAGTGTGACACGTGTGGACATTGTTGTTGTATAAACAACTTCTCGTAGCACTTTAAAGGTTATACTTTCATCCAGTTGCAAAACAAGCACAGTATATATATATACATATATTAAAGTAATGTATGCACGAGTATATATGTACGAGTATGTATCTAAAGTAGATTGAGGACTCTCACTCTCCATACATAATTGCTCAATATACTAGTATACCTTCAAAACCTTGCTACTTCTGTTTAGTAAAGATGCTAATGGCGATGTCCATCACTTGCGCCTTGCCTCTGCTCACCTCTGCCTAAACCCTCACACCCAACATTGGTACCATAAATCACCGCTCAGCGACAGTTTGTTGACTGTTATTGCCTTCAAATGAAAATATGCACCGAGTATTATAACAGTTTCTGCCGGCAACCATAAAGCTTTACTAACAGCTTATGCAACAACTATTTGGAGATAGAGGGAGAGAAAGAGAGAGCAGTTGAAGAGAAAGAAGAGGAACGGCAACAACTTCGGCAGCAGCAATTGCATTTAACAGCTACTTTTCGAGCTGTTACACCAACGTGATGACAGCATGAAAAATGCATTTATTAAAGTGTAAAATACTTGGAGAAGAACGGCAACGTGGCAATGTTGCCAAGATGAATTTCTTATAAATACACAACCTTCTGAGCTTATGATGCAGCCTGTGCTGGTTGCGCTCATTGATTTGTTGGTTCGTAAAGAATTTCCACTTTATATTAGAGCGTTCCAAGAAGGAAGTAATTGCATGAGGTATATATGTAGCATATATAAGCTGTTCGTTGGAACCCAATAAGCCAGTGGCACTTAAAGAAATGAAGTGTTTATGATAAGGTTCGTAGAAAAAGTCATTTAATTAGGAACATGCAGATTAAGCGAGGGCTTCGCGCCTAGATGGCGCCGCCATCGGTAAATCTGTATTTCTGGGTTATAATTAAGCTAAAAGAGCCTATTTTTCATGATTCATGCTACATACCCCAGAAAGATTTCGCGGAGGAGGTGAGTGCGCCTAATGACACAACTTAAAAAACAACGAGTCATAGCACTAAAAAGTCTCCCGCAGCTACATAAATACTCAAATTTACTCTTTTAGCAATCGAAAGAGGAAAAAGTTACTTCTTCACAATAAGCTTAAGTTCAGCCGGTTCTCCAGAAGCAAAGCAATTGTAGATAGGCTTCGATATACTGAACTTATCAAGCTAAGATCCATGTTAATCGGTCGGTCATGGCTCTTTGCAGGAAGTGATCGCCCCACCGCAGAAAATATTAACCCCACCGAGTGCATTTCTGACAATAAAATCAAGGCTGCTCATAAAAATCAAGATCCGAACCAAAAATTAGAGAAGGAGCTCGACCAAAGGTATATCCATAAAAGCTGGAGAGAAATATGAACGGTATTCAAGACGGTCCCTTTCAAATAGGAGCCTTTAAATCAACAAAATCGAGGTTAGTACGAATTCACGATGCTGTCTGTGGAGCTGGCAGTCTACTCTGGAGAATAATGGGTTCGAAAAACTTGAAACTTCCCCAGGGTTTTCTCAAGCATGGTCTAGAAAATCTCTCAACTCCAGTGTTTCACAATTTCCGCCATCTTTCTTGATTTCTCTCCACTAGAGCTCATTTCCACTTCATCCCAATATATCACACATCTCCGGTGTATAATTAAATTTAACTAATTTATCTTAATTAATAATTTTTCAAGCAAATTCCACTAAAATTCATTGCATATTTATAGTGCAATCCACATAAAATTCCAGCTGTAAACTCAAAAACCATAAAGCGGTTGTCTTCAGCGCTAATGCATTTGACCCAAATTGAGATATTTGCAGAGATGTTGCACCAAAAGCAACAAACACCTATGATTTTGAAGTCGAATACTCATATACCCAAGAAACTCTTTGCGTTACATTGTAGCAAATGCCAGAATATATCGTATATGTGTGTCAAAGTTTTACAAAAACACGACAAATAAACGTTGCACTACCTTTAATGCCAACCTCAAAGACCATAGCCGCACACCTTTGACTCGCTACAATCCACTACATGGTACTTAAATGAGATAACTTGCCAATAAATTCTTAAACTTTGCCCATACACAGGTCGAGCGAGCGTTGTTTTGTTTGCCACTCTGCATACTACATACATTACATGAGGCCAACATGCACTTTGGCATGCCACATGCCACAGATGACGTGCATAGTCCTGCTTTCCATGCGTTGTGTAGCCTTTGCACATCTCTCGCTCTCTTCCTCTCTCTCTCTATCTCGCTCTCTCTCCTGGCATACCCTTAGTTGCCAACTCAGGTATGCTCGTCTGGTGTGGTGTGGTGTGGTGTGTGTGCTGGAGCTCAGGAGTTTTACTCTGAAATGACGCCATGATAGACTAACTATTAGAAAACTGTCATTATGTAAAATTTGATTACCACGAAAAGTTCATAAATGTGCTGAGTTTATTCGGAAACATACCTTCATGCCTAGATGAGTGGTGCAGTTGTGTGAGTTTGTAGTATGTGTGGATCCAATTTTCATTACTGAAAGGGAGTAAAAGTTTATAGCACAAATTATGTACAGAAAGCTATTAATATTTTTCCAAAAATTTAAAAAAAAAATAATAATCTTGGGAAATATAAGGACTTTGCCGCTTTGAAGCGGCTTGATACTTTGGTCAGGAGATTTTAGAGCCTTATAAGGCGACTTAGTACTTAATAAGCCAACTTGTTGTCGTGTTCGACCTCGATCTCTATATACTGTGAGTAAAATACTTTTGAGCCCGAATACAATATTGCTGGTATAATCGGTGCTCCTTAAATTCTTTTTACTAGCTACGAGTCATAAACATTTCGCTTTTTAAGCCAAACCGATCCTATCCAAACAATACGAATTCTTTAAATAAGGGTTGAAGTAAATAATAAAAATAAGCTGAGACCTAGCCCTTAGCCTATATGAAATTTCGGAGCTCATTTAACTAGTTGGGCGCGAGTGTCATTTTCTAGCCTCAAAACAGTTTACTCAGTACTTATGAGCATTTTCATCGACTGACTGAGCTTTGAAAGAGAAAATGTATTCAAGAAACATTAACTAAACAGATGACAATAAGCGGCGTCTTGAGATATTATCCTTATTGTTATATCGGCTTGCTCAACACCGTCTATGAGCAGGCAACATCAGTCTATCTCGCGTAGTCGTCTAAAAGGAGATACAGGAAATGAACTGTTTCGACTGGTTAGGGTCTAAGGAATAGAGCTATTAGATGATTAGTTGTAGAGGGCATGCAAAAAGGTGATTAGTGTCCAGTAAGACCATAATTGTGCAGGTATCATACGGACCTCCTAAGCGTTACTCTGGCCTTACGAGGCACCTCGAGCTCCTCGTTTGTCAAGTGTGGCGGTTCAATTCCGAATACTCCATTCACGGGAAGAGAGTTTATAAAGGTGTTGATGGTACTCTCTGGGTAGCTTGCTACTATGTCGTTTCGTCCAGCGGCTCTTTAAGTTTTGTTACGTTGCATGCGATCATTCCGTCTAGTTCTGCGACCCAGTTATAATTAGGGTGTAGAAGATACGCTTTCATGACTATGGGACCACCTTTGTTGAAATCGTGCTATTATAATTGTCAATTGTATGGTCTCTGTTTGCTACACTGGTGATTGAATACTCTTAGTCTTTGCCATTTATTTATGAGCTGGCCTCAGGCATCAAGAGTAGGGAAGCTGCTCTGGGTGATACTCCCATGACCGCCACTAAACTGCGACTATGCCTGAGTATATGGCGTTCTTCTTAAGCCATTTTACTTAACAACAGATTTATTACGTGCAGAATAACCGTGAATTCTCGGAATGATTATCGGGTGAAGCTCATCTGAGGAGTTGCTAAAATGAGACGTTTAAATAAGTTTATATTTTCTATATTTTTGTTATTTCTTTATTTATATTTATTTTAATTAATATTATTTTATTTTTATTTATCAATTTCTTTTATTTTATTTCACTTAATTATATTTTATTTTATTTTGTTTTATTTTATTTTATTTTATTTTATTTTATTTTATTTTATTTTATTTTATTTTATTTTATTTTATTTTATTTTTTTTACTTTATTTTTATATAAGATTTAATTCTTATTTTTTCCATTTATTTTATTTTATTCCGATTTTATTTTGTTTAATTTTATGTTTTTTATTTTGTCTCATTACATTTTTTTATTTTATAATATTTAATTTAATTTTGTTTTATATTTTAGTTTTGATTTTATTCTATATGATTTTTCTTTCTAGTTTATATCATTTAAGTAAAATTTATTTTATGTCATTTGACTTTATTTATTTTTTTCTTTATTTATTTATTTTTATTTGCCAATTCTTTTAATGTGTAAAACGAATCTCATGTCAATGCCATCTGAAGGATGAAATCAAAATTGTATGTAAAATGGAAACTCATTTTTTATAAAATCCTTGCACTTGAAGTGGGAAATGAGAACCGTCATTATGCTTCAGATGGCATTCACTGCGAAAAATATATTGCGCTGGTAGTTAGACGAGAGTTCTGGTAAAATATACAAGTATACTTATGAACACATTTAGTTGCAGCTATCACACAGCTGTTGAGCTGCCGTCAAGTTTTATGCTACATATGTACCAATATTTACGTTTTCAGTTATAAAACTAGTGTGTGTACTTACATACTTATTTTACATCTCTACAAGTGCATCATAAAGCGCTTGAATGCACATGTATGTACGAGTATATGCCAAGGTGTGGATTTATTGTAGGAATGTCTTGCCGTCAGTTGCTGGCAGCTTTCTTGAAAAACTGAAAATCAAATTTTCACCATAAACGACAGTCATGTAACAACAAAAGCTCATACATATGTGTGAGGCTTCAGCTATTGTAGGGCGTCAGTTTCTTTGAAATCCAAATAACAGTGCTATTTATTTTTGAAATTGAATCAGTTTTCTAAAAAAGCTGCTTATTAAATGTCTGTTGCGTAGTACTCTGCAGCATAAACTGAAAATAAAGAGAATTCTGTATTTTTAAATTGAAAAAAAAGGATAAGGAAATAAAAGAATTGTATTTTTAAGTAATTCAATTTAACTATTAAATAATAAATAATACAAAATGCATATTGAATAATAAATATTGAAAAAATAATAACAATTAATAATAAATAGTAAATAAAACATAATATAAAAAAATAATAGATAATTAATAATAAATAATAAAAAATAAATAATAAATGAAAAATAGTAAATAATAAATAATAAATAACAAATAATAAATAATAAATAATAAATAATAAATAATAAATAATGAATAATAAATAATAAATAATAAATAATAAATAATAAATAATATATAATAAATAATAAATAATAAATAATAAATAATAAATAATAAATAATAAATAATAAATAGTATATAATAAATAATTAATAATAAATAATAAATAATAAATAATAAATAATAAATAATAAATAATAAATAATAAATAATAAATAATAAATAATAAATAATAAATAATAAATAATAAATAATAAATAATAAATAATAAATAATAAATAATAAATAATAATTAATAAATAATAAATAATCAATAAAAAATAATAAATAATAAATAATAAATAATAAATTATAAATAATAAATAATAAATATTAAACATTATATAAATTATAATGAATAACAAATAATAAATAATAAGTAAAGAATAATAAATAATAAATAATAACAATAAATAATAAGTAATACCTTTGAAATAATAATCTAATGAATAACAAATAAAAATAATAATAAAAAATAAATAACAAATAATAAATAACATTAATTGTAAATATAAAAAATATTTATTATAGTTTATATATTTATATATATACATATACATATTCATTTACATACAATATATGTATGAAAAAAATATATAAAACGATTTTTTAACTTATTTTGCAGATTAAACTGATACTCAGGGCAACAGTTGCTCGCTAACGACAACCATCATCAAATAAAACTGGGCATTCCAATTAAAATCAAAATGTAAGTAAATTTCAACAATTGTGCCATTAAAAATGGCGGTTTGAACTTAGTGTCATACTCAGATATGCACTTAAAAAGAAAAACGCACCGAAACGTTACGCTCGAGGCAGCAGGAGAATCTGAAAAATCACAAAAATAAATAGAAAAAAAAATTTAAATACACACTTAAGTGAATTTGTTGAGTATAATCTTTTATTTTTTTTATACATTTATATATTATATAATATTTTCGTTTTTTCGTGCGCTTATAGTGGCGAAAAGCGAGCTCTAGCCAGCAACTATTGCACTCGTTCAGCTGAAAAATAATTGCACACTTCTTATAGCGTTGATGCATAAATTTTTGCGCATTTTTTTCTCTCACAGAACCGCTTCCAACAACTACAACAACAACACTAACAATGTCAGACACTAGATAATTTGTGTCAAAAGTATGTTTTATGCAGCTTTTCAGCGGTTATGAGCTTAAGCGTTCTGGGAAATAAATAAAATATAAATTTTTCGCCTTTTTTTTGATTTATTTGCAAATTTTTTTACAAATAAGTTGTTTCCCCGTGCGACTTTTTAATTACTCTTTATGCTGGCATTACTAAAGTCTCTTGTCAACTATAATGCGCCACAAAATATGCAACAAAACAAGACTTACGCTGGCATATACATATTTTATTTACTTTGCTTATAATTAAGTGGTGAACAAAAAAAAAAATTGTTGCTTTAATCAACTCATTTGCAGGCTCTGCCAGTTGTAATAATCCTTTGTATCCGCCCACTTTCTTTACTTTAGTCCCGAATTTATACTTATTTCAATATATTTTTATTCTTCAAAAGCGCACTTAATTCGCAGGCACTCTGCTCATTTCCACTTTTCTTTCTTGCCTGCATTGCATCTTATATAATCGAGCACTCCGCCAGTTTTTGTCTTTATGCGACTTTTGCTCGGTCCTTGGCATGAGGAAAAATTGCAAAAGCACGCTTTTGTCGCTCATTATGAAGGCACATTCATCTATGCATACATACATACAGACAATCTCAATTAGTAGTTAACACTTCCGTCAGCCATGCCCACTTGCCGCAACGCAACGCACCGCCCACTTGTGAACTGTTTGTGAGCGTTAGTTCATTTAAATTAATTCTTACCCATACTTTGGCCTTTTTTGTTTTGTTTTGTTGTTGTTTCTTTGAAGCGGCAACCAACCACAATTACTTGAGTTTTACTTGCTGTGCTTTGGCGGCTTTAACGGTTGTATGTTTGTATGTATGTAATAAATTTGTAAAGAGCCATGACTAGCGACGAAAATTTTACGCTGCTGCTACTTACGGCCAAACTCTTCGCTTCTAACAGGCTTCAAGTTTCCTAAGTACCGCTATATTTCATTATTTCCAACACAACTACAACCCTTTTCATAATAAGCACTAGTTTATGTATACATACATACGTACATACATACATACATACTGTGAGCGTAAAGTATCACTAAATTTTTTCAATTACTACTTTTACTGCTAAGTTGTTACTGTTTGCGCTATACCCACCTAGCTCGGCCACCTTCACCACTTTCTTTTTGTCATCACTTTCTGTTTTTTTGGCAAAAAGTTCTTTTTCACTATTTCCTTCCTTGACATTTTCGTCTCAGTAATTTAATATTTTTCCAGTCCCTTTTTTTGTGTTATTTTTTAAATATTTTTTTTTTTTAATTTTTGATATTTCTCTTTTCATTCCGAGTTGCCGCATTTATTCTTCGTACATTTTCTTTTATCACCACTAACTTTTAAAAGAAGGAATAACTAAAATAATTAAAGTGTAAAATTCGTCTGTAAGAGTCAGATATATTTCTATTATTTTTGATTTTCAATTCTCATGCAATTCTTGCGCTTTTAATTGTTTCTAAGGACTCAGCCATATTTTTTGAGCTTTTTGACTTTTCAACAAAGCACAACATTAAGTGGAGCTTTTGTAATTTGAGCTTAGCTTGAATAAACCGTTGAGTAGCCATTTTTATAGGTCAGTGATCCCAAAAATAATTTTACTTATTCAAAAAAAATCATTCAGTAAAAATTCAACCTCAAAAGCTTTGAGTGTGGTGTTACTTAAATTTCACGGTATTATTGTCTTCTAGAATTACACCTCAATAGTAAAAAATAGCAGACAGCATGTGCAGCTCAGTGCGCAAAAATAATTGACTATGGTGAACCACCTAACCTCAATTCGATCTTTTTGTCAATGGATGGGTTGTATACCATAGTGAGTAAAGCTTTAATCTAAAGTAAAGTTGCATTCGCTTACTGTAAGTATTTCCGGTCGCCACTCAAGCGCTCCAAATTTATTTCTGACATTAACAAAAAGTTTAGTCGTTCGAAGGTGCCTAGGAATAAATTGTACGCCCATGCGTTAGTTGGATCTTGCATTGATCGCATCTAGAAATTTCCTCTTCTTCTTTACTGGCGTAGTCACCGCTTACGCGTTTATAGCCGAATTTATAACAACGTACCATTCATTTCTTTTTCTCGCTGTTTGACGCCATTCGGAGATACCAAGTAGAACCAGGTCCCTCTCCTCCTGATCTTTCCAACGGCGTGGAGGTCTTCCTCTGCTTCCACCGGCGGGTATTACTTCGAAACTGTTCGTATCCATCCGGACCACATGATCTAGCCAGCGTAGCCGCTATTTCTTGATTCGCTGAACTATGTAAATATCGTCTCACGCAAAACCTTTCTCTTGAAAACTCCTAACGCCAACTCATCAAATGTTGTCATCGTTCATGCCTCCGCACCATATAACAGCACAGGGACGATAAGCGACTTGTAGAGTTTGGTTTTCGTTCGTCGGGAGAGGACTTTACTTTTCAACTGCCTACTCAGCCCGAAGTAGCACCTGTTGGTAAGAGTGATTCTGCGTTGGACTTCTATGCTGGCATTGTTATTGATGCTACTACTGGCTTCAAGATAGACGAAGTTATCTACGACTTCAAAGTGGGAACCTAGTCACGAATCTGATGACTGTTTGTTTGATGGCAGTTATTTCTCTTGTCTTCGTTCACTACCAGACCCATATGCTTCGCTTCCTGGTCTAGAATTGTGGAGAAAGCAAAATTCACGACGCATGGAGAATATCTGGTCGATAGTTGACCTACCATTTCTAATGCCACATTGATAAGGTCCAATCAGTTTGTTGACGGTGGGCTTTTGTCTTTCATTCAATACGCTCGACAGGACCTTATAGTCGATACTAAGGAGGCTTCTCCCACAATAATTGGCGCAGACTGTGATGACCCCTTTTTTATGTTTTGGGCAGAGCCTACTTAAATTCCAATCGTCGGGCATGCCTTCGTCCAACCATATTCTGCAGAGTAGCTCATGCATGCACCTTGTCAGCTCTTCGCCGCCATGTTTGAATAGTTCTGCCGGTAGCCCGTCAGCTCCAGCCGCTTTGTTGTTTTCTGAGCGAACGATTGCTATTCGAACTTTTTCATGGTCACGTAATTGGAACTACTCTCTTATCGTCATCGATTGGTGCTGCGGGTTGATTATCTCCGGATACTCTATATTCACTTGCTATTCAGCAGGCTGAAGAAGTGTTCCCTTCGTAATTTCAATATACTCTGGGCATCGGTTGCTAGACAAAAGTCTACTCCGATAGAATTTTCGAGCATTACCCTTGTTGGCCAGTTTTTCAAGCTATTCTTAATCACGCATCTCGGCCTTTCTTTTTTTTTTTGTCTGCAGATGTGTCTGGCTTCCCTCTTCAGCGCTCGGAATCTACCCCATCCTGGTGTAATGGGGTATATTCATGCTTCTGGGTATGCTGTTACAGTTGCGTGGCTATACTCAATTCCTACTCTTGCGTCCAGGTGCTGAGTTTGAGGCCCGCCACATAGAAACCAGCCCCAATGAAAAATTTTAACATGTCTCCCATATCTTTATTGCAGTAGCCTTTGCTACATGTTAGGTCGGATTGAAGCTCGCCCATTACTTTTACAATAAATGGCTTTCTATAAGTGCGTTTGGATTTTGCTAGATGGATTTTTTAATCTTCACCAAAATTTATTTTATTCCCTTCAAAATATGCTCCTTCTTAACCAATACAGATATGCAATCTTCGAAACATGCCTGGCAGGCGCTGTCCGGGATCGCCTTCAGTTCCCTCTGCGACTTTTCTTTTGCGGCCTCAATCGAGTCGAAACATACTCCACGGAGTGGTAACTTGAGTTTTGGAAAAAGTCACATAGGGCCAAATCCGGTGAATACTGTGGTTGATCGATAGTTTTGAACGAGTTTTTGGTCTTAAAATCCTTCACAACTACATCTCGGTCCGATGGCGCATAGTCGTCATAAAAAATTCATGAATTGTTGGCCCACAACTCGGGCCATTTACGACAGATGTTTTCAGGCAAACGCATGTGCCGTTTGGAAGGAATTAATGATGAACCAAACCGCGAAGATCGAAATAAAACGAGATCCAGAAACTTTCTGGTCTTAATGTATTTTGTAATCAAAAAGGCCTTGGGAGAATGGGCACCAGCAACGAGAAATGCGTTATAATCTATAATTTATCTTAGATAAATGCGGAAACCCAAATTAGGCAGCTTACAATGTGAATAGTTTTATGATGCTGTTACTGTTACAACCGTCAATCACGGACACCTAAAAGTTTCGACTATTTCATTCCACTAATTTTGATGGAAAAGATGCTCAAAGTGTAGAAGGCTAATTGTTGCAAAAATTCGATAAAATAAGGGAAATCGTCGAGTACGACTCGTCATGTGAGCACTACTTCCTTACGGCTAAACTCTTAATTCGAACCTACTGAAGAAAGCAATTTCCCAGTTTTGGCCAACAGAATGGGAATTGTGTTTCATGAGGACAACGTCATACTACTCAATCGATAATGACTCGCCAGAAACTTTGAGAGTTTTTTGGAAGCTTCTTATGCATACATCCACCATATAGTCCGAAGCTTGTACCAACTAATCGCCATCTGTCCCTATCTATGCCGAATGATTCGACTGGTAAAGAATTGGCTTCAAGCGACGCCAGTGAAAATCGGTTGTCCCAAATTGTCGTCAATTGGGTTCAGGGTTTTTACTAGAGGCAAAGTGGCATTAACTAAGCTATAGCAAGAATTTATCGGTGCATTTGGGACATAAATCGATTAATCTAAATAAGGTAAATATCACCTTCAATATATTGCAAAAGTTGATAACTTTTTACTAGACCTAGTACAAAAAGATTCATTTATCCTGGACACTAGTACCGTGAAAAAAGGCAAAAATGTATCTTTTCAGAAATTTTTTCAAAAAATTTTTGCAGTCGTTTAGAACACTTCTCAAACGTGAACTGGTTTAAGGTGAAAAACGATTTTGAAAAATTATGAGTTTTGTCGCTTCAGCTCATCTATGCATATACATATAAATATGTATGTACTTGCATTGCAAATATTTTTGCGTTATTGCGCATTGGCTTATTTCAACATACACACATACATACATACATACATTCATCTGTTTTTGGGCATTGTTCCGTTGCTTCGTGTTTTGTTATTTCTTCATTTCATTTTCGCTCATGCAAGTACTGTCCACTCACAGATTGTTACATATACAAAATATGTATCACGCACACAAGCACACATACATATGTACGAGTATGAGGGTAGCCAATACCGTTACTGCTTTTATTGCTTTTATTACGCAGCGAATGCTGACGAAAGGGAGTTATGTGCTTTGATATTTGTTTTTTTTTTTTTTCTTTTTTTAATGTACATATGTCTAACACACACACTTCAGTATACTTACATACATACGAATATATGAATTTTGAATTTAATTTGTTGCTGTTTCTTCGTTGCTTTTTTTCTATTTTAATTAATAAATTGCATTGCTGACAAATATTGCATTTTAGAGAAAAACCCAAATACACATATGTTATATACATATATAGCACAGCTACATATGTCGTGAACGAAAAAAAAATTATGTTATAAAATCATTTGAAATATTAAATGAAAATGAATAAAAGAAAATTATTTGATTTGACAATTCATAAATATTTTAATCACACTGAGATATGGTTTTGGTATTTCAGTGAAAATTGATTTGATTTGTGCGTTATATTGGAAAGGAAAGTAGAAAAATATAGAAAATCTCTACATTTGCACATGAGGCACTATGTATGTACGAGGGGATTAACAAAAGTTCGGTCAATTTGTTCGCAATTATCTAATAAGTCTTCCTTTCAAGACGAGAAAACTCATGATGGCTGAAGATAGGTCAAACGAAATTCCACCACACAAATGTAAACAGAAATTCACCATTTGATTCTCGTCTTCGAGTTTCGGCGCAATTTACAGCCAACACAAACAAATTGCATATTGAAGGATTGCATCGTCTTTGAGGACTACTTCTAAGTGGTTCCGAAGATTCCCGACCGCACATTTTTCCGCAGTGGACGAGCGCCGAGAAGGTCGACCAAAAGCTTTCACTGATGACGTCACTGTAGCTCTGGTGGAGTCCAAAATCGACGAAAAACCACGATTGCCACAAGAAATGATTGCTAATGAATTGAGCTTGAATTCCATGGCTGTATCGCGAATATTAAGTAATCAACTGGAATACACGCAGAAATCTGCTCGATGGGTACAAAGAATTTTAAATGAGGCCCAACAAGAGACTCCACTGTATTGCGCTCAATGTTTCCTAAACAAATTCAAAAATGGTCAGTCTTGGTCTTGGTTCAAAAAGTACGATCCAGACACAAGACAGCAGTCCATGGTATGGAGCACAACAGTGGCAAACCCACACGTAAAATCTAAGCAACAAAAATCAGCAGCAGAAGTAATGATTTCAGTTTACTTCACCCAGTCTAAAGTCGTAGCTGCTATTCCACTGGAATAAGGTGAGGGGGTAACTGCAAAATGGTAAACCGAAGAGTGCTTACCAAAAGCTTTTAAAAATTGATTGGAAAACAGGAAGAAAAAGGATTTGCGGCGCTACTCTTTACATCATGACAACGCGCCATCCCACACTGCTGAAATAAAAAGTAATTTTATAGAGATCTCTGGCATTGAAGAAAGATGTCCAGCACCATATATCCCAGATATAGCACCGGATTTCCGGTTATTTTCAAAAAAGAAAAAAAATTAATGTGATTTATGCCGAAGTTAATAAGCTTAAAAAGCAAGGTTTTAAAGAATGTTTTCAGAAGTGTAACTACAGACTTGAGCAATGCATTGAAATCAATGGTGATTATGTAGAGAAGATAAAAAAGCAGAAAAATTGCGAATAAAAACCACCCTCGTGTATGTCGTAGTTGTCAAACATTTTTTGTTTTTAAAGAAAATTGCCTTTTAAGCAAAAAGATTCCTAAATATTGTATATGAATATATATGTATGTACTTTAATTAAAAAATCAAACTTTTTCCAATAAATTATTTATTATTCAAAATTTGATGCTACAACATTTGAGATGAATTGATGAGTGTAGTATAGAAAATCGTCGTATATTTTTCATAAATAAATTTCAATAAATAATATTCATTGAACTTGATTTGGCAGCTACCAAAGTTCAAGTATCGATCCGACCAACATCCAAAATTATAGAAAATATATTTTATATTATTACAATTTATACGGTATTTGGCAAATGTAGTTCTTTTTTATATACAAAAAGAATTTTTCAACAAATGGACGGACCTACAGTTTATACTAAGCCGCCTCCGAAAGATACTTTATGAGTAGAATTATTTAATGTCAGCAATGCACTCCGAGGGGTTGAAATTCACTGCCGAGGGGCGACCGCAATTAGAAAAAAAAAGTTCCAATTCGGTTGATAAATTCAATTTTAAAAAGCTGAAATATAACAACCCTCCCACAGTGCGTTTTTTAATTGAAGAAGTTACGCTTTCTCTTTTTTGTGCCTATTTTTTGTTTCCAAGATAAAGAGAGAATTTCAAAATAGTTTTTTTTTTTTTCTTTTTATGAATTTTTCTTAGAATTGAAATGAAATTTTACTTTGCTATAAATAGCATTTTAAAAAATCATTCCAACATAAAGTGCAGTTATATTTTCACGAAATTTTCACGACTCATAAGAAAAATATGCCTGGTTGCAAAGTGAAAAACTCATATGTCTCTTCAGCAGCAACAACCATTGAATGTTCATATTGGCAATATTTTCTCTTGAGAATTGTTGATTGAAAATTCCATTTCAAACCACTTCTGGAAGCAGCCATAACGCACATAGCGGGTTTTATGTTCATTTGTATGTACATATGTACAAGATATAAGGGTTTGTAAGCCTCTTCACACACGATCTATATACATAGGTTGGAAATAAGTTTGTATATGAGTACATACGGATATTAATACACCGAGGCGAGGCTATTATTGATAAAAAAATATATGTACATATACATATATCAAACCTACGAATATGCGGATAATATGGAGATAAGAATTAAGAAGTGCATTTGTGTCCACATTAAAAAAAAAGGCACCGTTACCATACCGAGTAAATGCATAAATGTCGCTCCAATATGACTTCACTGATTGCTCCTCTCGCCATTTCTGGATATAAAAATTTAAAAAATTGCATTTAAAAATAATTTTTTTTTTTTTTGGTTTTTGAGATGCATAAATATAATGGGCGCTTTGTAACCGCTGAAGCAATTTTTCCTCCTCCAATTTGTGGTTTTGCGTCTTGATGGTTTTCCAACAAATCGCTATACGGCCCTGGTATTCCAGCCCAATTCATTAGCAATCATTTCTTGTAGCAATCGTAGATTCTTGTCGATTTTGGACTTCACCAGAGCTACAGTCACGTCATCAGTGGATGATTTTGGTCGGCCTTCACGGGAATTATTCTCTCGGGTCTGGTATGGAATCTTCGGAACCACTTAGAAATAGTCTTTAAAGACGGTGCACTGAATATTTGTTTTGGTTGAAAATCACGTCGAAACTCGAGGCGGAGAATCACATGGCGAATTTCTGTTTGTGTGATGGAATTTCGTCTGAACTATCCTCAGCTGTCTTACGTTTCTCGTCATCACTTTACACGATAGTTCTAAAATTTGAAAGAAATAGGATAATTGCAAAGGACTTGGTATTTTTACATTTGACAAAAACAAATTGAAAATCACCAACTGACTGAACTTTTGTTATTCCCTTCATACGTATCCATGGCTCGGTTTGGTAAAATGCCTAAACTTTTCTTTCCCGGAAATAAACCAGAGATCTGACACCAAGTTGGACTTGCTCGAAATATAAATAATATTTTTTTTACGGCTAAGGGATCACCAAGAGAATGACTAAAACTGGTCGTGTTCGCTGCAGGGTCGACTTGTGGGTGAATAAGCATAGAACCGAATGGGCTTTCTGGCTCTTTCCGAGGCATTCATGTTGACATTTTCATCAAAAAACTTTCGAGTAGCGAAGAAGTCACACAAACATACAAATAGACAGTTAAAATCTTTATAATGCTTAAAGGGTTTTTTTTTATCTCTCTTTGCAATATCAATTTTGAGCAAAATCGGACAAAATACAGAAAGACACAGCATAAAATACCTTTAAGTATATGGCTATGACCACAATTTGCGGTAGAAACTTATATCCAATTTAATGGCATTTTCAACAAAAAAAAACTAAGAATTTTTCTATTTATTTTCCAACAAAACTCCCAAGAAGTGCACAACAAAAATATGAAATCACTTTAATATTTTTTTTTAGTAATTTTTAATGAAAATTCTCATATTTTCCTATAGCAGTTTTTGCATATACCCAGAGGTATAAATGCATTCATACACATACATATGGATATACAGCTGTGGTCATATTAATGGCACATTTCTTTCAGTCGGCTTTCTCATGCTTTTGCGGCATTAAAAATATCATGCGCCGACAAGGTTTTGGTGTTTTTCTAAAATTTATTCTTCACACTAAGTAATTACATAAGCTCAAGTTGGAACTCGTTAACAATTCAACGAAAATAATGGAATTGTGGAAAAGGTGGACGCAAAAATGGTACAACTTTGAAAAATATGCAAAATTTAAGTGAAAATGCAATTTTTTAGATCTTTTTCTCTAATCTTTTGTAGTATAGTCTTTATTTTCAATGATTGCTTCGCATCTGCGACTTATACTTTCCACCAGTTTTGCCCACTCGGCTTTAGTTATGGCATACCAAGCATCCAAAACGGCAGACCAATTATTGTTCAACTTTTTTCTTCAATTTTTCTTTGTGATTTCAGTCTCGACTTCATTCATAGGTTTTCAAGCGGACGGAGGTCAGAACTCTGGACTGGTCAATCTAACTCAACGATCTTTTTCAAACTCAACTAAATTATTTCTAATTTGTGCGATTGCTTGGGGTCGTAGTCCGCCATAAATTTCTATTTAATTGGATTGATGTGGAAGTGTTTTGGTGTTTTTTGTGTTTCATAATTTCCAAATAATGAAACTTTTCCATTTTTTCGTACATCATCCTAATATATCCGCCACCCCTGTTTCATCGCCTTCTGAGTGTACCTGGAATTTTACTCTAGGACTCTGTCAGCTGGTCCTACCCTAACGATTTTCGTTGCCTCACTCCACTATACGTTTTTCAAAAAATATAGCCAATTTGGCTACAGTATACTCTTTTTACGAGGAAGCTTGCCTGATGTGTTTGTGTCCAATGAATGGCTTGTATCGGTTGCTATCGGTCGCTATGACTAGAATGGATCATTTTTTATCGTTATTATCGTTTAGTGGCATCTGAGATGGGCGGTCTGTCTTTCGAGGCCATGTCATTCAAATTTTGTCGTTGGCCAATATATTAGGGTTCCGCCACATTAATTGCGT